GCCACCGGGTCCGGGACACGAACCGCGGTCGACTACGTGGGAGTCCAGCGACATAGCCATTACGCTAACTGCTGGTTCCCGAGAGAACATAATTATTGATATGAAATTGGTTAAAGTGGCCTTTTGAGAGCAAGGAAAACATTAAAAATTGACAGGTAGAAGTCAGAATGACTTAACACCAAGAGATCTGTAACAAAAACAATTCTAAGGACTATATATCAATTTAATTCAGAAGAATGAATTTGAGTCATGTTGAGATTTGAGTAAATGTCTTTATTTATTTTTTAATAGAGGTTTTTGCTATAGGGCGCGTGCGCTCACCAGCCAGAGAGAGAGACAGAGAGACAGAAAGCAAGAAATCAATCCTCTGGGATTGATCCATGGCCATGCCGCAATCTCTTCTCCTCCATTCTCCGCTTGGGATCTTGGGCACACATGCACACGCGTCTGGTGTGAGTTTTAAGCCACCGGGTCCGGGATGCGAACTGCGGTCAACTACATGGGAGTCCAGCGACATAGCCATTACGCTAACTGCTGGTCTCATAAATGTCTTTATTGTTTTAAAAAATTATTTATTAATTTTTTCGAGAGGTTTTTGCTATAGGGTGTGTGTACTCATCAGAAAGACAGAGAGAGACAGAGAGACAGAAAGCAAGAAATCAATCCTCTGGGATTGATCCATGGCCATGCCGCAATCTCTTCTCCTCCATTCTCCGCTTGGGATCTTGGGCACACATGCACATGCACCTGGCGTGAGTTTAAGCCACCAGATCCGGGACTTGAACCATGGTCGACTGCATGGGAGTCCAGCGACATAATCATTACACCTAAGTATCTTTAAATAAATGATAATAATAATATACTATCTTACATGTAGGGTTCTAAAAAGAATAGAACTGAACTTATATTTCTGTTCAGGAAATTTACAAAAGAAATTAGTCTTGGCTTGAGTAAGAGAGCAAACTGAATAGTCTATAGATTATACTTTTTTGTTTGTTTTTTTTTTTTTTTTGGATTCCCATTCAGAGAGCTCAGGTCTTGAAGAAAGCTTATTGCCTCAAACCTAGGATGATGAGATTTTAGTAAGAGGGAAGGGAGCCCCAGAGGCTTTCACGTGTGGATGATGAGCAGGAGAAGGATGAATTTGCCATTAATGGAGGTAAGAAGAAAAGTGCTGAACTTCAAATACGTGCTTAAAGACTGCTATGGGCTTTCATGATGGTTCAGCATCATGATCTCAGACACACTTAGGCTCATACACCAATTCTTGTCATGACCTTCCATGGAGCATTTATAAGAAAGACTGGGCAGAGAGCAAGAGAACTTCTTTTTACCCCTTCAAGGGATGGATATGCAAGGACTACCATGCCTTGAAACCACAGGAGAATTTCAGGTTACTCTGAGTATCAGGCAGCAGCCTTTGTTACTGGGTAGGAGCATAAGAAAGCTGATGAAATTTCCACTCTTTTGTCACAAGTGTACCAGTTGAGAGAACTAGTAAGATTTGGTGCAGGTCAGGGTACTGAAAGAAATTTTGTAAACACTCAAGCATTTCACTGAACATAGGGAAACAGGCTGCATGATTGTCAGGAACCCTGAGAGAGACCCTTGGAGGTACTGGGGGAAGGCTCATTGAGGGTGGGAGGGTTACAAGAGGGCGAAGAGATTTGTGGAGACAATCTTGAATTCACTTTTGCATATATTACTTTTGAATTAAATATCTAAGTAGAGATATCAGTTATGTTGTCAGATATCCCACTGCAAGTTTGGGCAGCAGAACAGAGGTCCGGGAGAATTTTAAAAGGATAGAACTGGCTGAGACTACCAAGGAGAGGACGGAGAAAAAGAGACGACCAGGAACTGAGTGCTGGCGCTCTCCGGTCTGAAGAGATACAGGACAAAAAGGAGAAAGTACTAAAAGAAACAAAAGAAGCACCTCTAGTGAAATAGTCTGAGAAAAAAGTGAATGTGCTATTCTGGAAGCCAAATGAGGAAAATATATTATGATGAAAGAAGGGGCCACTAAGGACACTGTGGGAAAAGTCCATTGGATCTAGCAATGTAGAGAGTACTGACGACTTTGACAAGTATAGTTTCAATAGAGTGAAAGGCATGGGGAGAAAATCTGATCAAAACTTAATTGGAGCCAGAGAGTATGAATAACTATTTTAAAGTGGTTTTGTTGCAAAACAAAGCTAAGAAGTAGCAGGCATTGGTAGAAAGGCAAGGCAACTTTTTCTTAAGATCAGAAAAATGACAATTTGTGTATCTTTGAAAATAACACAGTAGAAAGAAAGTTAATGATCTGGTGAAAATAAAATGGACTGTGACAGAGAATCCTAAGTACACAACAGGAGATGGAGTCCTGAACATCTGCTGTGATATCCACCTATTCACCCCGGAGATGTTTTCAGTTGTTCTCCTTTTTTTCCTGATTAATGTAAAGTATTTTAGTGTTTTATTTCATTTTAATTTAAAAAAATTTGCCATAGGATGTGCATGTTTTTACCAGAGAGACAAAAAGACAATCAGAGAGGGAAAGTGAGAAATCACCCGCCTCCCCCCGGGGGTATGGTCATGGTCACCAACAACCCCTTTTCTTTCATGCTCCTCTTGGAATTTTGGGCATTCACGTACATGTGCCTGGTGTGTTTTACAAGCTCCCAGGTCTGGGACTTGAACTGTGCAATCAGCCATTTGGGATTTACTTGCCTTAACCACTATACCTCTGATTGACCCTATTAGTCTTTTAAGAAACAACTTTTTGTTTTGTTTATCCTTCCTATGTTTATTTTTTCTCATTTATTTCATTGCTTGATATTTTGTATTTATGATTTACTTCCCTCTATTATTTATTATGCTTTTTTCCCCTTATAGTTCCAAGATGCATGCTTAGTCCATTATATTTCAACCATTAATTTTTTTTATATCCATAGTTATGTGATATCAATTCCTGGGTGATGAGCCTGTAATATATCATGATCCTCACATCTTGATATACTTATTCATTATTTTTTCACTTGTCTTAAGTTCCTTCTTTTAATTCTTGTCTCTACTTCTCAGGCGTGGTTTGTAAATAGTTTATTTATAACCATATATGATCATGATTTCTTTTGTGAAGTCTGCATTTTGTTGTTTATATTTTGACCAATCTCACACACACAAAATGAATTTTCTCCCTTTCTAACTTCATGTTGGCAAGTAGTCATTCAACTTTTCATTTACTGTATAACAGTCATTCTTTTATGTTTGTCTCTTCCCAAAAATGTTTACATCTTTGGTGGCTATGGGTACTACTGGGGATCTCTTACATTTTCCTAGCAATGGGGAGTCTATCCTGGTCTTTGTGATCATAGTCTTATACTTCACTTCCTCCTCTATGCTGTTATCTTGAGTGAGTCTTCATGCTTCCAAAGGTTTCGCTCAGTTTGGTCTGGTCAGAAGTCCTAGGTGGTGCCTAGTGAGCACTATTTGAGTGATGAAGGCTCCACCTTCTTGAATAGCTTCATGCTGTTTCACAGGAGGGAGCAAAGTCTTACTCATGTGGGAATAGGTTCATTCCTGTGAGAGTGGGTTGTTATAAAAATAAGATGGCTGCCCACAGGTAGTTCTCTCTCTTTATACATACCTACTTACATTACTGCTTCTTTCCACCATTTTGGGATACCAGTCTATGCCATTGGACTTTCCAGCCACCACAATCATGAGCCAAATAAATCTTTATTCTTTTAAATCACCCAGTCTCAGCTAGTACTGTTTAGCAAGACAATAATGAACTAAAACAATGTATTGCAATTGAGTGAGGAAGCCAAAAAACAAAACAAAACAAAACAAAAAACAAAAACAAAAAACACAGACCCTGTGGGAATAAATACCTGATTCACATCACCAGATCAAGACCCAACCACCTGGATTCTGGCTGAGAGGGAAGGAAATATTGACTAGGTAGTGAAAGAAGGAAGCCATAGATAATAAATTTGGAAATATGTTTTTTGGTATTGGCCAGAAATCTGCGTTATAAGGTATCAGAGAAATTTTTTCATGGAAAATTTCAATCATAGAAACTAGAACAGTGGTTTCTTTGCATACTTGCCCTTTGCTTGTGAAATATTATGTGTTCGTTTGTATATGCTACCCATTTTCTTCTTTTTCCTTCTCTTTTAAATTTTACATGTAAGTTGTTGGGATTTAACTTTACTATTTAGTGTATTTAGTGTAGAGGTAACAGACTATTACCTGAAAAATGTGACTAAACTTAAGGAGTAATTAGTAGAGACATTAACAGTAATATGAATTATAACTAATATGACTTTGAGGACTGTGTGTCTCCTAACTTTTGGAAAGGATGAGAAATTTCGTTAGAAGAAGAAGAGTAGATGAGATATGAAGAGGACTCAACCCACCATTGCTGACTTTAAAGATGAAAGAAGAGAATCATGATGCATAGGTGTGACCCAATATTGCTAGAATAAAGATGGAGGAAGAAGACCATGGAGTTTCCAGAAAGGAGCTCAGGCCCTGCTAGCATATCAATTTTGGCCCACTGAGATCCGTGCTAAACTTCTCATCTATAGAACTAACCAATAATAAATTGTGGGTTGTTTAGCCATCAAGTTTGTGGTAATTTGTTATAGCAGCCACAGGAAACCAATACAGTGGTTTATAGGATATAATAAAATGCCAAATAATGATGCACAGTGAAATGTGAGGACTAAGGGATATCAGGCATGTACACAAAGATAAGCCTAGAGCTCTACCTTTGAAAGGTTCTGCATAAGAAATTGCCTTTTATCTGCGTACTTACTCTGCTCATGATTCAGATTTCCAGTGTGGAGCCAGAGAGTATGAATAACTATTTTAAAGTGGTTTTGTTGCAAAACAAAGCTAAGAAGTAGCAGGCATTGGTAGAAAGGCAAGGCAACTTTTTCTTAAGATCAGAAAAATGACAATTTGTGTATCTTTGAAAATAACACAGTAGAAAGAAAGTTAATGATCTGGTGAAAATAAAATGGACTGTGACAGAGAATCCTAAGTACACAACAGGAGATGGAGTCCTGAACATCTGCTGTGATATCCACCTATTCACCCCGGAGATGTTTTCAGTTGTTCTCCTTTTTTTCCTGATTAATGTAAAGTATTTTAGTGTTTTATTTCATTTTAATTTAAAAAAATTTGCCATAGGATGTGCATGTTTTTACCAGAGCGACAAAAAGACAATCAGAGAGGGAAAGTGAGAAATCACCCGCCTCCCCCCGGGGGTATGGTCATGGTCACCAACAACCCCTTTTCTTTCATGCTCCTCTTGGAATTTTGGGCATTCACGTACATGTGCCTGGTGTGTTTTACAAGCTCCCAGGTCTGGGACTTGAACTGTGCAATCAGCCATTTGGGATTTACTTGCCTTAACCACTATACCTCTGATTGACCCTATTAGTCTTTTAAGAAACAACTTTTTGTTTTGTTTATCCTTCCTATGTTTATTTTTTCTCATTTATTTCATTGCTTGATATTTTGTATTTATGATTTACTTCCCTCTATTATTTATTATGCTTTTTTCCCCTTATAGTTCCAAGATGCATGCTTAGTCCATTATATTTCAACCATTAATTTTTTTTATATCCATAGTTATGTGATATCAATTCCTGGGTGATGAGCCTGTAATATATCATGATCCTCACATCTTGATATACTTATTCATTATTTTTTCACTTGTCTTAAGTTCCTTCTTTTAATTCTTGTCTCTACTTCTCAGGCGTGGTTTGTAAATAGTTTATTTATAACCATATATGATCATGATTTCTTTTGTGAAGTCTGCATTTTGTTGTTTATATTTTGACCAATCTCACACACACAAAATGAATTTTCTCCCTTTCTAACTTCATGTTGGCAAGTAGTCATTCAACTTTTCATTTACTGTATAACAGTCATTCTTTTATGTTTGTCTCTTCCCAAAAATGTTTACATCTTTGGTGGCTATGGGTACTACTGGGGATCTCTTACATTTTCCTAGCAATGGGGAGTCTATCCTGGTCTTTGTGATCATAGTCTTATACTTCACTTCCTCCTCTATGCTGTTATCTTGAGTGAGTCTTCATGCTTCCAAAGGTTTCGCTCAGTTTGGTCTGGTCAGAAGTCCTAGGTGGTGCCTAGTGAGCACTATTTGAGTGATGAAGGCTCCACCTTCTTGAATAGCTTCATGCTGTTTCACAGGAGGGAGCAAAGTCTTACTCATGTGGGAATAGGTTCATTCCTGTGAGAGTGGGTTGTTATAAAAATAAGATGGCTGCCCACAGGTAGTTCTCTCTCTTTATACATACCTACTTACATTACTGCTTCTTTCCACCATTTTGGGATACCAGTCTATGCCATTGGACTTTCCAGCCACCACAATCATGAGCCAAATAAATCTTTATTCTTTTAAATCACCCAGTCTCAGCTAGTACTGTTTAGCAAGACAATAATGAACTAAAACAATGTATTGCAATTGAGTGAGGAAGCCAAAAAACAAAACAAAACAAAACAAAAAACAAAAACAAAAAACACAGACCCTGTGGGAATAAATACCTGATTCACATCACCAGATCAAGACCCAACCACCTGGATTCTGGCTGAGAGGGAAGGAAATATTGACTAGGTAGTGAAAGAAGGAAGCCATAGATAATAAATTTGGAAATATATTTTTTGGTATTGGCCAGAAATCTGCGTTATAAGGTATCAGAGAAATTTTTTCATGGAAAATTTCAATCATAGAAACTAGAACAGTGGTTTCTTTGCATACTTGCCCTTTGCTTGTGAAATATTATGTGTTCGTTTGTATATGCTACCCATTTTCTTCTTTTTCCTTCTCTTTTAAATTTTACATGTAAGTTGTTGGGATTTAACTTTACTATTTAGTGTATTTAGTGTAGAGGTAACAGACTATTACCTGAAAAATGTGACTAAACTTAAGGAGTAATTAGTAGAGACATTAACAGTAATATGAATTATAACTAATATGACTTTGAGGACTGTGTGTCTCCTAACTTTTGGAAAGGATGAGAAATTTCGTTAGAAGAAGAAGAGTAGATGAGATATGAAGAGGACTCAACCCACCATTGCTGACTTTAAAGATGAAAGAAGAGAATCATGATGCATAGGTGTGACCCAATATTGCTAGAATAAAGATGGAGGAAGAAGACCATGGAGTTTCCAGAAAGGAGCTCAGGCCCTGCTAGCATATCAATTTTGGCCCACTGAGATCCGTGCTAAACTTCTCATCTATAGAACTAACCAATAATAAATTGTGGGTTGTTTAGCCATCAAGTTTGTGGTAATTTGTTATAGCAGCCACAGGAAACCAATACAGTGGTTTATAGGATATAATAAAATGCCAAATAATGATGCACAGTGAAATGTGAGGACTAAGGGATATCAGGCATGTACACAAAGATAAGCCTAGAGCTCTACCTTTGAAAGGTTCTGCATAAGAAATTGCCTTTTATCTGCGTACTTACTCTGCTCATGATTCAGATTTCCAGTGAAGTCTTATTGATGTGGGAAATATTATTGTGCAGGTCTCCTATGTGGTGCCTCTTTGTCAAGAAGGTTGACTGCACAAGTCTGGATGGAATGAAGTAGTACATCTTCCCAGTGGCAAAGGGGAGTAGCCTCCCCAGAAGAACAGCAAAAGGCTATGGTGCCAGACAAAAACAACAGAAATAATATAAACATCCTCACCCTACCTCAGGTTATTTTCAACCAGGATCTCATCCAGATCAAATAGAAAGATGAAACGAACTGGGACCCAAACAGTCAGCAAGAGATAATATATAATATAAATTAAAAACAATACATCTTGTGTTTGCTAGTTTTGCTTTATTATTTGTCAATGACTCAATAATAATCCTTGTGAGAAGCAAAGATAGAGAGGAAAGGAGAGAAGAGAAAAAAGAGAAAGAAGATCAGAGCAGAGAAGAAAGAAGAGAGAAAGGGAGAGAATATCCAACATCCAAACAGAAGGCTTCACTCGTTGGGTGTTGTGCTCTCAATTCTTGGTTGATTTCCCATGGGCAGGCAGCATGGTCGTCTATCTATACATTTCCCAACAAGGATTTCTGTTTCAATGCAAAATTCCTGGCAGGAACCATTTGGACGCTCACAAACCTCCTTGAACTTGCCCCTGGCTGCACACAGGAGATTGCAATCATTAGTTAGTCTTCTTGGATTTTTATTGAAAAGTATCTGGAAACAATTTTGTATGTATTTTTGTTATTGTTGCATCCGATGTCTTAAGCCAACACTTAAAAATCTGTTGTCACACAAAAATTTGGATCTTGGTGCTCTTCAAAAATCTGTCAATTTTTAATATGCTTAGGTAACAAACTGGTAGAGCTGAGCGGCCCTCTACTCTTTAGAAGTTCTAGACGTGCACACTCCAATTTATACATTTTTCTTACACCTTATTCACAGTTCATTGGAGTAGCTTAACTTTAACCCTGGGGCTATAGTTCCAGATAAGCCTGTCATTCATCCAAAAAATCCATGTCAAGTGTGGAATAGAGGATATACTTCACACATGTGAAGACACGCACACGTTTGTGTGTGTATGTGTGCACACAGAGACACACATGCGCTTTTACCAAGAGAAACAGGTGAGTGAAAACCTTGCATAGACAGCTTGAACATTCTTACTGAATTGATCCCATGGTTTTCTTTCCAGAGCTCACTCGTACATTCATATTCCTTAAGACTTAATGCCTTAGACTTTCAAATTTTGTGTTTTTGTTTTTGTCTTTCTTTTGGCCATATGTTATTTCCCTCATAGCTCTTACTAATAAAACCTCTCCTTATCCTAAACCAGGGCTCTATTTTAGGGGTATATTGACTTATTCTTGGATTATAAGACATTCAAAATGACCAGCCTGTGACCTCTTGAGAGTTTAGGGCCATTATATGTTTTTCTTCTTTGTGTGCCTGCTCCCTGGTAAAGGCCCCACATACAGTGGATGCTTAACAAATATCTGATAAACTGAACTAACTTTCCATTCTCTCCTTACTCCCATCTCCTTTTATTTTCTGATTAGTTTTCCTAAGGAAAAATTAGAATTTCCTCACAAGCTGCTCTTCATCCTCCATACATGAGAGGTTATTCACCCACTGATCATTACAGGTCAGTAGTAATCAGTCTTTTAAATACAGATTTATATAGGAAAGTCCCCTTTTATTTTCTGTTGTAAAATTAGGGAAGTGGCTTTTTGCAAATAACAAAAAGCATAGCAATTGATAGCTTCTGAAAATATAAAAGGAGTGCCCACATTCTCATATATTTATGACCACCTTCTTAATCCTTCCCAACCATCAAAGTCCTGAATTTTCAAAGAAGAAATAAGCGCATACTCCACTTGAGATAAAGCAGTAAGTTTCTTATTATTATTGGATATACATATTTAGGAATTCTAGGCAGTCTCATGATCTATTCTGGGTGGCTGGTTATTTCTTTGGTAAAAGCAGAGTCCTTCACACACTACTTCATAACATGTCTGTGCAAGATGTATTATACTAGTGATACATGTTTGCATGCTGAATGTAAGATACATTACATTGTGGGGTCATTTATGATCCCTGTGTTTTAGCCCAACTTTAGCAGAGCAGATGCTGGAAAGAAAGAGAGAAACACAGGAGTTGGGGTGGAAACTTAAGAGATAGGATCAAGCTCAGGGAACAAAGAGAATTGAGGGGCAATGAGTTAGAGATTTCTTAGACTATAGAAATCATTTCAAGGAAATTCCTTCTAATCTCTTTTGCTTGGGCCCACTATGGCTTTGGCATAGTTCTTATGCCAGTGATTTAAGATAACTAACTTCTGTTGAAAGTAATAAAGTTTTAGAGAGCAAAATGTAGTAGACTAATGCCCAATTTTTTGTTATCTATATCTAGACATTGCTAATAGACTTGCCTGATTAAATTCGCATTTAGAAATGAAGTAAAGGGGGTTTCAAACAGTTGAAACACCCTTGACTTCACTACATCTGAGAGTTGCTATGGAGAGCTAATGAGTCATAGGTGATGGTGAGTTAGGTTTCCAGTGTTGGATCCCCATGAGATCTCAGGTGCTCTGTTCTTTTCAAGGCTTCTGAAAAGTTTATTTTGTTACCTGGTAAAACTTGGCTCATAAGGAAGAGACTAGTAAAGAGGAAGACAGCAATTCTCATGGCTGAAGAAAGAAGAAAGCTTGGCTTCATTTCCAGGAGGCAGAGGAAACTTCCGTTTGCGGCTCTCTAGCATTAGCAGAATGTCTTTGTCTGGAGATTAAGTGCCCTTCTGTACCTCATTAGGGATAGCCATGGAGAGAGGTGTTCTGTGTATGCGGAATGGCCTTCATGGGAAGACTGAGAGTACTTGTTTTGTTGGACACTGAGTTCATTAAAAGGGTGTGGGTGCACAGTTTTGACCAGAAAACCTTGCTAAATAGGAACATAAACTCCAAACATTTTGGCATCAGATTAAAGTTTATGAACAAAGCATTGTCTATATTAAATTACAACAAATTAGACTATGCTGAGAAACCAGATGATTTAATTAGTGACTAGACATTTTATTAATAAATACTTCCCAGGTGTTATTAGCCCTACTAAAAATTAATCACCCCACTTACTCCTGGTCAGAATTTCCACAGTTCTTTGCTTATGCATAGTGCTTACTGCATTGTATGCACTTGCTAGTGAGAGAGAGAGAGGGAGGGAGGGAGGGAGGGAGGGAGAGGAGAGGAGAGGAGAGAGAGAGAGAACTCCTAATGGGGTGTGATCACACCACAATTGTTTTTCCTCAATTTCTTCACCCTGTCACTGGGGTCAGGATTTGAACCACAGTTAGCTAATGTCACATGAACTGAAGCCAATCATGAACAAAGAATGATAGGAAGCCAGAAGAATGATGGTCACTAAATTAAGAATTTCATTTCAGTAAAAAGATAGAAATTATATAATGGAGGGTCAGTTCAAGGTGTGATAGTTGAGGCAGCTGAATGCCACATGACCAAGTGAACAGTTAAAGTCCTGCTCTTAATGGACTGAAAAATGTACTAACACATGTGCATCCATGCCCCAAATCCCAAACAGATAGAGAGATGGAGGAGAACAGATTGCAGTGTGGCCATAGCCCATTGGAGGTGTACTTTCTTATTTTCCTTCTCTCTGTATCTCTCTAAGCGTACTACATCCTCTAGAAAAACACAGTAAAAAATTTATAAGATGTAATCAAATAGAAATTCTGGAATTGAGGTACACTATCTGAAATGTCAAATATAATACAAGATTTCAACATTGGATTCAGGCAGTCAACAGACATAATCAGTGAACATGAAAAAACAATCAATAAAAATTATCAACTCATACTTTATAAATTAGTCTAACATGGTTCCTGTGATTTGGTCCTATGTCATTTACCTCTTCAAAACAAACCTAGACTGTTAGCCAAAGTTCACCAGCTCCAAGATCAAATAGTTACATGCGTTGTAATCCAAACATAAACCATATTAGAGTTTTCACCCTTAGAGCCTATCTGTTTCTGCATCCTGTAAAATTTTACTCAGTATATCTAGACCTAAATAATATAAGCCATGGCCTATAAAATCCTCTGAGCTGCTGCTTTCCTTCCATAGTTCTTTGATGTAAAGATAGGCCATCTAGTTGCTGAGCTGTATAATTTAGATAAGTAAGCCATTTCTCCATCTTCCTCTCTTCTGGAGTTCCTCTCTCTTCCTTACAGCCTCAAGTTGTTGCCCCTAGAAAATGTCATCCTGTGAAGGACTTCCCCTCATAGACAAGCTGTCAATAAACCACTCCAATAAAACTGATTCTGGCATTCTGTCAGCTTGTGGTCTTAAAATGTTCCTTGAACAGCCTTAAAATCTCTTATGTCACTACAACAGCCCAGCGTACTTACACATATAGGTCAATGCAGATAAATCTTGAAGATCTCTCTTCAGGCTCTGAACTTCTGATAACTAGCTTGTTCCCTTTAACTCTCCTTCACATCCCCTATGAGGCCCTGCCTGATCACAGGCTTTGCCTCTTCAGCCTTTCTAACCTCTAAAGATTGACTTGGTTTCTCATTACACTCATGCATGCTTTGATATGTGCTATGGTTTTGATAATAGTTTGTCCCTTAAAGTCATGTTCTGGAATCTCAGTCTCTGATGTGATGATCCTTGGAAGTTCAATGATCTTAAGAGATGGAGCCTAATAGGAGAGCACCGTAGAATTAGCTGAGGGCTTAGGAGAGATAAATAGAGGACATAAGTAATGCTGTTTCTTCTCCCTCTCTCTCTCTCTCTCTCTCTTGGGACCTGAGTGCCTTCCTTTTCCACTTCTATTGGCCAAGTTGTGATGTAACACTGAAGCTTGGCCTAATGCCAGCCTCATGATTTTTGGACATTCTAGCCATCAGCATCATGAGTCCAAAATCCTATTCTTTATCATCATTCAGTCAGGCACTTTTTTTTTTTTTTTTTTGTAGGTTTTTGCCATTTGGCACATTCGCTTGCTAGAGAGAAACAGAGAGCAAAAATGAGAAATCATCCCTACTGATTTCTTTTTTTTAAACTATGCTTTGTTTTCCCAATTTAAACATTTTACTTTCTTTTGAGTTGTTGATAGGTTCAGCAACTTTTTTCTTTAAATGGGAACATAAACTTTTCTTCCTTCCTGACCCCTCTTGAATTGGAAGTATTTGAGAGTATTCTTATTTTGTGGCAGAAGAGTTATTTGCATAAGTTCAATAATGCTCGTTGCATTGAATCAGAAATTGGAATCCTCATTAGTAGACAGGGAATGTCAGATCTGAAGATTAATTGGAAAACTATGGAACTAATGTGAATCTCAAGTAAGGATATATGAAAGAATTTATAACATAAAATAACCTGGATTTTTCCAGCCCTGCATTGTAGTCAGTAGAGATTGCAAAAGAGCAACCTTCCAGAGGATTATCTTGAGAAAGACTATGAAGGAAGAAAAAGAGACTGATCTTTGCTAGCAGATGGTACATCACAGAATACTTCATAGGCAGGGCTGAATTGAGAAGGTTTATGTGTGACTAGTGTGCCGGGTATTTGATTTGCTTTTCAACAATTTGAGTAGTTGATATGTAAGTATTTTCTTAAAAATATTTAAAACCGTACTGTCTTTGTTGTTTTAGAGTCACAAACAAAATTACACAAAATTATAAGAAATATTTTGAACATTATCTTTAAAATTCAGTATTTTGAAATTTTGAAAGTTGTTAACTGTCAAGAACTATGGAGTATGAGTGAAAATTTTTTGATATGTAAATTTAGTAAATGTTTGTGGAAAAATGTAAAAATGGAAAAAAAGAAAAAAAAGAAATCATCCCTCAGGGGGGACGATTATGATGCAATACCTTCTCCTCCATTCTCCTGGGATTTGGGGCACACATGCATGCCCACATGCACACCCACATGCACACTTGGTGTTTGTTTAAAACAACTAGGTCTGGAACTAGAACTGCGATGGGCCATACGGGAGTCCAGCAGTCACCTGCTTGCCCCACCTGGTGGTTTTTCAAGCTGCCAGGATGGTACTCAAACTGTACAGTTGACCATGTGGGATCCAGCCACCTTAACCACCATACCACTGGCTGGCTCCACTCTTACTTTTAATATTGCAGTTAATATGAATTTTTCTGCTGTGTTTCCTTCTATAGCAATGACAAGAGCTTCTCAGTTCAGGAAGGGTGTCTGAAGTACTGAAAATGACAATGAGATTTCCACCATAGAAGTATACACACAGGAACTCCTGAGCTTCTACTGGGTCTCCTCATGTCTTTTCACCTAAAGAGCTCTTAAAATATTTCAAGACCCAGGACCAGAGTTGGTGTAATGGCTATGTCAGACTCCCGTGTAGTGGACCGCAGTTCAAGTCTTGGACCTGGTGGCTTAAACTCATGCCGGGCGCGTGTGTGTGCTCTCTCACTGGAGAGAGACAGAAATGTGAAAGGACATGAGGAGGTCCAGTAGGAGCCCAGGAGTTCCTGTGTGTATACTTCTATGGTGGAAATCTCATTGTCATTTTCAGTACTTTAGACACTCTTCCTGAACTGAGACACTCTCGTCATTTCTTGTTTGTCCTATGGCAAACATCTAAAAAAAAAAAAAGTTTCATTTTACTTTTATTTTTAAATAAACTGCTGGGACCAGCAGTTAGCATAATGGCTATGTCGCTGGACTCCCACGTAGTCAACCACGGTTTGAGTCCCGGACCCGGTGGCTTAAAATTCATGCCGGGCATGTGTATGTGCGTGCCCAAAATCCCGAGAGGAGAATGGAGGAGAAGGGATTGCAGCCTGGCCATCCCCCTGGGGGGTGATTTCTCGCTTTCTGTCTTTCTGTCTCTCTCTGTCTGGTGAGCACACATGCCCTATAGCAAAAACCTCTCAAAAAAAAAAAAAAAAAAAAGTGTGCCAGCCACCATCCTTAGCTCTTAAGAGGAGTGTACCAGGAATTGAGCCTGGGCCTCTTTTAGGCCTCAGCCTTCCAAGTCTAAGAGTTAATCAGGGCAAGCTACCCCAGTTTGGCCAGTCTTATTTTAGGACAATGAACCTACCTGATGAAACTGCCTACCTTGACAATAAGACCAGCTATATTAAGTAGTCACCACCACTAGCTGATTAGGGGTTGCCACCTCTGCAAAGCCTCACGAGTGTCAGTAAGCTCTCTTTCAAAATAGCTTACAATGTAGTTTGCTCTTTCCTAATAAACCCTCTCACCTGCCTTTGTTCTTATGATATAACTGAGCTCTACGTAGTCCCCTCATTGGACAAAATTGTAATCCTAATTTTTACTCCTTCCAACAAACTTTTTAAAATTAAAATTTGTTTTTACATCTTAACTTTGGCATACATATTACTCAATGCCAAAGCAAAGAAGAATTAATATACATAATGTATTCAGATTCATGATCCCCTGCACTTAGTGCATGCTACGCAACATGCAAACAGAGTGGATGTGAAGAGTGTTTGCTTTAATGAAGAATAAGTGCAGCTTCCCAAAGACTGCCTTACTTGGACCCTCTTCTTTCCTTCTCCCAGTGTTTGTATTGAGAGGCAATGGCTGAGTGGAAAGGTCTCGCATGTGCTGTGCTTGCTTTCTTTAGCTTAGTGCTCCTGGAAGTGAGGTCTGGGAGGACCAGCATCAGCATTAACAGTGACCTTGTTAAAAATGCAAATCGGGGGCCAGCAGGTGGCATGGTTTCTAAGGCACTGGACCCCTACATGGCTGACAGTTGTTTAAACCCCAGACCTGGCACCATGAAAATCATGCCAGGCGTGAGCGCATGCATACCAAAAATCCTAAGAGGAGAATGGAGGAGAAAGGGATTGCACCATAGCTATCATCACTTGGGGTTGGGGGGGGCGATTTCTCACTTTCCCTTTCTCTGTCTCTCTCTGTCTTTCCCAACCCCCGTGAGCACACACACCCTATGGCAAAAAAACTTAAAAAAACCCCCAAAACCCACAAAAAACAAAACAAAACAAAACAAAAACAAATCCATGGGCCCTTCCCAAATATGCAAAGTCACAATTTCTTAGGTTTGAACCTTGGGTCTCCAAGAGATTTGTATCACATTAGAATGCCAGGAGTAGTATTCAGCTCAATAGTTCTCAAGTCTGGCTTCCCATTGAGATCATTTAGTTCATTTAAACAAGTACCATTACCCCAGAAATTAAGCAAGAGTGCATGAAAGAGTAGTGTCTAGGCTTATATGTTTTCCTGTGTGCTTATTTATGTGTGCATTCGGGCATGTACATTTGCAAAGTTCTTTTATTATGTGAGTATTACAGTTTTTACTTATCAAAACTTTTTTTTTTTTTTTTTTGCTGCTATTCAAGTCACTTTCCAAAACAAAGGAAAAGTCATCCAAAGGGAAACCAAGTTTGAGAACCACTTAGGTAAACATTGTTTCTGAAATGCTAATGTGATACAAATCATTTTGAGGCCCAAGGCTCAAATCTAAAAAAAAACCATTAATCTGAATATCTGAGATGGGTGTAAATGAATTTGCATTTTTTTAAACATGACCAATTTTGAAGTTGGGGCTGGTCCCTTGACTCTGCTCCCACTAATATTAAGCTAGACAAAGCAAACCCAGCACACACACAAGTCTTTTACACCTGACCCTCATATCTCAGTACAAACACTGTTGGTTTGCAGCAAACTCACCATTTACCTCCCACCAAGATCACTTTATTTTTTGACCCTTAGTAAACTGAGAGAAGAGGTGTGTAAGGCAGCCACTGGGAAACAATATGTGATCCTTGATTAACATAAAGGTTATTTGTCTTCTCCAGTGTTTCTCACATTTTGTTAGAGTGCACTGGGAGGGAGCAAGGACCTTGAGTACATTATGTGAATTAATTCTTTCCTTGGCAGTGATTATATACATCTAGTGTAAGCAAGAAAACGACTGTAAAGGGGGAAGCCTGAGAAGGATGTCATGGAATTGGTGAGAAACCAGGTTGTGCTACTAATTGGTTCCAAAGTGTGCTTAGCCCTGAGCCCACCTCCTAAGTGAAGTGATCTAGAGGCTAGTGAAAATACCAGCTAGCTGCTGCAGACACTGGGAGTGGGAGATGAGGGGCTCAGCCAGGAGACTGTGTGTGTGCAAGGTTTGAGATGAAAGTTTAATGCTGTGGGGAGATAATGCCTGGAGAGGATCCTGGTTCTGTGAAGGGAAGGGGTGAGTTGGTGTCCTATGTGATGAGTAATGACAGAAAGTTTGCTGCAGACAGATGCGTCAAGGCTTGTTACTCTCAGAGCTTTTGCCTCCTCACACCCTAGCTGCCGCTAGTCCTTAGTACATACCCTGACCAGAGGAGATATGAAGGTGTTTCTGAGGAAGGGTAACCTGAAATCTGTGCTCTGGTCACTAGAACATTCTATGTAAGACACCTATGTAAGCGTCTGTAAAACTGTATAGTATCTGGAATCCACAAAATCTTAGAACAACTCTTGAAATCTTCTAGAACCTCTTCCTTCCTCTGCAAAACTCATTCTTCCTCTGAGAATACTTGGAGGCAATATTCCCAGACTGAGCAGTTATGTGTGTTCTTTTAGGAAGGCCTCAACTTCAAAAACTGACTGTGAACCCTGCTCAGGTTTACCTAGACATTCTAGCCCCTGTAAGAGTGACCTTGGACACAGACATGGTGCTAGGGACCACAGTAACTTGGTAGCTGTGAGTGATTGTGTTACCTTGTGCATGGAGTTCTGCCATGGGAATGACTTGAGGTCCGCTCTGATGGAAAGCTCTGGGGACTGTGTAGTGTGTATGAGGCTGGATGTGATGGTCATCTGCAATAGATTTCCAACACAACCTCACTGTGCTTGTGATCCTCATTTCTTACTTTGTACTTCTGGATTGTTGGGTTTTCTTCACTTCCAACACAGCACTGCTAGAGTATCAATTCACCAAAAATATTTCTTTTATTTTATGGCAGCATTATTTATATGAGCATGCCTTATAAACTGATAAAATGACATATTTGTTAATGCTGTTACTTCCGCTGAACAATAAAACAGCACAGGATGTGTTTTGCTTCCATTCTTAGTAGAATTAGGTTGTTGGAAAAGTCATAGTTCATTTTTGCATAGGAAAATAGAAAAAATGACTTTTCCAACGACCCAATATTTCAGATCTAATGCTACTTCCACATTAAAATTCATTTTAACTGTTATAGACCACTTCTTCCCACACATATGCCTTAATTATTAGCTCTATTATTGGCTATCAAGACAGATTATAAGTTCGTAAGTATTTCTAGGAAGAGAATTTTAATAATATTTTGTAACACCCTAACATGCCTTTTCCACCAGAAAACACAACATATAAAGTATCTCCCTTGGGGGCCAGCAGGTGGCATGGTGGCTAAGGTGCTGGGTTTCTACATGGCTGGATGCAATTCAAGTCTTGGACTCAGCATCTTAAAAACCATGCTGGGTGTGTGAGCGTGCATGCCCAATATCTCAAGAGGAGATATAGTTGATCTCTTCATTCTTATTTCCTTTCCTATTCAAAACTTTTTTAGTTTGAATAATGCCTTTTGTCTTTTTTTTTTTTCCCTTGTGCTTCAGAAATCTCACCTAAAAACTGATTGCTCGTATCAAAGTTCTGAGGTGTTTCCTTCTATTACTTTCAAGATTTCAGGTCTTATGTTTGTCTTTAAGTCATTTGGGTTGATTTTTTTATAACCTACAGGGTCTCTTTATTCTTCTGAATATGAATATTGAAGAGACTTGTCCTTTACCCAATGAATATTCTAGGTGGCTTTGTTGAAAATCAGTTGGCATACATACATGAATTTATTTCTAGGCTCTCTATTCTGACCCATTGGTTTGTTTATCCACTGTCAGCCATTATCATGCTCTTTTTGTTGTACTTATTAAAAAGTAAAATAGTGTATTGTTTCCAGCCTTGCTCTCTTCCTCATGATTGCTTTCACTATTTGGAATCTTTTGTAATTCCATATAAACTTTGTTTTTCTCTATTTTTGTGAAGAAAGCCACTGATATTTTTGTGTATGTTGTATTGGATCTATAAATCACTTTGTATATAATGATCATTTTAATGATCTTACAATCCCTGAGCATGGGATAGCTTTCCAATATTGTGTCTTCTCTAATTTATTTCATCAACGTTTCATAATTTGCAGTGTAGACATCTTTCTCATCCTTAGTTAAATTATTTCTAGGTATTTTAATAAACAGTTTGAATCTATTAAAATCCTTTTTTAGCTCCTTCATTATTGCTATACAGAAACAACTAATTTTGTATGTTGATTTTGAATCCTTTATGAAATTCGTTTATCAGTTTGACAGGTTGGTGGGCTTTTAAATATAATTTGTTTCAGTACTGCCCCAAGATGTGAGATGTGGTTCTGTGATGAATTCGTGCACCTTAGTTCAACTCAGAGGCTTCAGGTAAAAATGTGGTCTTCTGTGAAATGGAAGGAAACAGATGCCTATCCTCATGGCTAAAGATTGGGGACCCCCAAAAGGCTTAGACTAGGTATCTATCATACTAGCTTCTGTCCTAGAGACAACTTGGAAGGTGAAACACTCTACTATGCCACCCTAAAAGCATTAAAGAAGACCGCTGACAATGGTGAGAAGGTGGAATGAGGGGAGGTTAGGTTTGTGAAAAGAACTGTTGGGAGAAAGAAGAGATTTAGTGAGTGGGGCTTAATATCTATCCACATGACAAGGAGTCCAGACCAAACTCTATGACTTTAAAACTGGATAATAGAAATATACCACCACCAGATTAGCTTTTTAAGCAACACATTTATTGGTTAGGTATTTACAGGAACTGAACTAGTTTATAAATGCAAGTCAGATCTAATCTTACCTATTTAAAACTGAATCTGATTTCTTAGAAACCAGCATTTAATATAGCAAGATAACCTATCTTTCATAAATCACGTTCTTTTATCGATGATAGTTCTTTTCTCAAATGCTGAATAATTTGCTAAATTGTGTTAAAATGTTTTACGGTTTTTATTGGCTGATATTTATTTTTTCCTAGACTGGTCTCTAATGTGAAATCTATCCAAAACTTTCTCTGCTTTGATTTCACGCTTGGTACTTTCTCAGTAATAGAACCTTAGTGTTGAATATATAATGCATACTCACTGAATACATTCCTTCATTCATGAGTGTGTTTAGCCCTGTGAGTGACTCATCTTTTTTCTATAAATAAAAGATTTCATATCATTTTCCACTAAATAATTTCTCCAGAATGAGATAATTAATTAGTATACTTCAAGACACTTCATCCTCTTATTTCCTGTTTTAGCAGCTAATTCTCTGAACTGTATTATGCATACCAACCCTGGTGCTTGGGTAAATGTTTCCACTTATTAGAAATCAAAGGATTCTCCCAAGTATACTTTGTTCCTTTTGTTTAACAACAAATGGTGAAATTCTCACGTTGAGTATAAACCTGGAGTGTCTATGCTGTAAAGTCGTCCAGAATGTTTAAAGATGAAAGCTGTTATTGTTGACTTCTATATTCATATAGCAGGGTAGGGTATCTCATGTCATCTATGACACATCAGAAGATGTGCCACATAGAATTTACACATACGGCTTCTCTTCCATATGAAACTGTTTATGTCAAAGAAGAAATATAAACTGCAGGAAATTTCACACTGATTTCACAGTGCTTCTAAACGAGTGCATCCTAGATGTTTACATTTTACAAGTATGGCTGACGATTTTTCTAAATTTACTAAATTTATGACTTTTTAAGTCAGATTATATGCTGAAGGCATTTATCATTCTCTCTAGTATGTGTTCTCTCATGTCGTCTAAGGGAAAAAGACTTACTGAAAGCTTTCTCACACAGATTGCATTTATATAGTTTCTCCCCAGTGTGCGTTTTCACATGTTGTCTAAGGTTACCTGATAAATTGAAACTTTTCCCACACAGAGGGCATTCATATGGTTTTTCCCCACTGTGAGTTTTTTTATGCTGCCTAAGGTTAGCAGATTTACTGAATGCTTTGCCACACAAATGGCATTCATATGGTTTCTCTCCAGTGTGTGTTCTCTCATGTCCTCTAAGGTCCCAAGATTGACTAAAGGCTTTCCCACACATATGACATTCATATGGTTTCTCTCCAGTATGGATTCTCAAATGTACTCTAAGGGTAGAAGATTTGCTGAAGGCTTTGCCACACAAATGGCATTCATATGGTTTCTCCCCAGTGTGCATCCTCTCATGCTGTCTAAGATTAGAAGACTGACTGAAGGTTTTCCCACACAAATGGCATCCGTATGGTTTCTCCCCATTGTGTGTTCTCTCATGTTCTCTAAGGTCCCAAGATTGACTAAAAGCTTTCCTACACAGATGACATTTATATGGTTTCTCCCCACTGTGAGTTCTCGTATGTACTCTGAGATTAGATGATTTGCTGAAGGATTTCCCACACAAAAGACATTTATATGGTTTCTCTCCAGTATGTGTTCTCTCATGCCCTCTAAGGCCCCAAGATTGACTGAAGCCTTTACCACACAGATGACACTCATATGGTTTTTCTCCAGTGTGCATTCTCATGTGCACTCTAAAGGTAGAAGATGTGCTGAAGGCTTTCCCACACAGATGGCATTCATATGGTTTCTCTCCAGTGTGCATTCTTACATGCACTTTAAGGTTAGATGACTGACTGAAGGCTTTCCCACACAGATGGCATTCATACGGTTTCTCTCCAGTGTGTGTTCGTTTATGTCCTCTAAAGTCCCAAGATTGACTAAATACTTTCCCACACAGATAACATTCATGTGGTTTCTCTCTAGTGTGCATTCTTTCATGTACTCTAAGGGTACATGATTTGCTAAAGGTTTTCCCACAAAATTGACATTTGTATGCTTTTTCTGCAATGTGAGTTTGATTGTGTATTTGAGGGTCAGAGGTATGAATAAAGGCATTCTCACACAGAAGATGTTCATATGGCTTCTCTCCAGTGTGAGTGATCTTGTGTTGTCTAAGGTTAGAGAAATTACTGACCTTAGTAATTTTCTCACACTGTGGGCATTCATATGATTTTACCCTTGCCTGTTTTTTCTTCTGTTGATTAAGGTGTAGGTTGTCACCACTGTATTTTTGACGCTGTTTGCTGACTAATGGTTTCTCTGCTGTGTGAAGTGACAAATTTTGACTCATTCCACAGCTGTGAATGTGATCTTTTCCCAATTCTTTCCATTTAGATAGATCATCTTGAGAATGAGATTCCTGCTTTTATAAAGAAGATGAAAGGTGGTAAATAGTTTGCCCATATAAATACATACACTGATTTCTCTATATCTGAGTCATAGACTAATCTTTTAGAGATTGTCTAGAGTTAAAATCTTTTCAGTGTCACTTGCATACACATGTTACTCTGTTGCAAGCAAAAATATTTTCTCTTTTGTAGCATCTCAAATGCAAGGCTGTCAAATTAATCTGAAAGACTTCAATATATTTTTTTTTTTTGAGAGAGATTTTTGCTATAGGGCGCGTGTGCTCGCCAGACAGACAGAGAGAGACATAGAGACAGAAAGCGAGAAATCACCCCCCAGGGGGGATGGTCACGCCGCAATCCCTTCTCCTCCATTCTCCTCCCGGGATCCTGGGCACGCACGCACATGCGCCCGGCGTGAGTTTTAAGCCACCGGGTCTGGGACGCGAACCGTGGTCGACTACGTGGGAGTCCAGCGACATAGCCATTACGGAAACTGCTGGTTCCCCCAATATATTTTAAAGTCTAGGTAAATGAACAAATGTTTATACAATTGTCCATTTTTTTACTATCCCAGGTTAAGATTTGAAACTGAAATTAATTTATTCAGTATACATTCAAATTACCTGAAACGTTTAACTCCAAAACAACTGAATAACCATAATTACAGTAAGCAATTATACTTAATCACTAAAGCATCCTTTGCCAAATATTAATCTGGATGATCAGACTCCATATCCATTATACTTACCATTAAGCTGTGAGTGGCTGTGTCTTTCTTGCAGATATTTTGAATGGGTATCATTTTTCGTTTTTTATGTGTACTTTCCCTGCCTATAATTGCAAAAAATATATTGTTAGCAAGGCATTAGGGAAATGAAAGTATTGAAAAGCACAAAGGCACACATGAGTATCTTTTAAAAACTGGCACTTGGGGCTGGCAGGTGGCATGGTGATTAAGGGTGATGGATTCCCACATGACCAACTGCACTTTGAGTCCCAGGCCTGGTGGCTTGATTTCTCACTTTCTCTCTCTCTTTTTTTTTTGGAGAGGTTTTCACTATAGGGCACGTGTGCTCGCCAGACAGACAGAGAGAGACATAGAGACAAAAAGTGAGAAATCACCCCCCAGGGGGATGGTCACGCCGCAATCCCTTCTCCTCCATTCTGCTCTTGGGATCTTGGGCACACACGCACACGCGCCCGGCGTGAGTTTTAAGCCACCGGGTCCAGGACGTGAACCGCAGTCGACTACGTGGGAGTCCAGCGACATAGCCATTACACTAACTGCTGGTTCCCATCACTTTCTCTCTCTCTCTCTCTCTCCCCCTCCCTCCCTTTATGGTCAAATAAAAAACAAAATAAGTAAATAAAGTTATGTAAAAAATAGTAACTTAAAAAATGTATTTAAGAAAGAAAAAAAAACTGGCACTAAAATACTGGGTATGTGTCAAATAGAAGAATACTATAGGTAGTAGAAACATAATATAGGGCACTAACAATTAGAAACTGTTTTTAAAAAGGAAATATAAATTAGAGATATTTACTAGATTAAGACAGGAAAAATCTTCAAAGAGGAGGTTCAAGACAAGAGTCAATACAGGAAAATTTAACTCCATTTGAAACCTCCTATGCTTTTCCCTAAATTCAAAAAGAATGGCAGAACCTATGACTGTATTTGTGCTACATTTTGTATATTCACAATTGTTAAATTTAGAATTTTTTCTTTTATTTGCATTTCAATGTTTTACAATCCTATGTCATTTTAATGTCTGAACTTAATATTTTACCATCCAAATTTAACATATTTAAATCCATATTTAACCTCATATTTAATATTTAACTTAAATATTATTAGTAATCATTATCTTACATAAACGATGTTTAATTAGATTTATCTCAAATGTTTATAGTCTCTTTATTCACTTTTCTGAATTGTGTTCCAAATTCTGACTTGGGGAATTTTGCTTTTTCTTGAAAGTATATTTTTAGTACAGAAAAGGCTGCCATAGAACCGAAATTAATTGGCTACTTTACATGAATTTATATAGATGTTGGTTCTCAAAAGCTATAAATTAGTGATCTATAAAATAAAATGTGTTGGAAACCAAAAAAAAAAGAAAGAAAGAAAGAAAAAAAAGAACGGCAAGAAAACATATATATTGCTATTGGCATAGAAAAGAAATAATGACCACATCTAAGCAATACTGTCCCAATGAGTCTCTTAAAGTTTGGAATATATTCATTCATTTTATAAAACCTGCTGATATTTCCAAGGACATACTCCTTGATCAGGCACATATCTATATTGAGGCACATATTCTTACTGTTTACCTGGGCTTTGGCCTTGGAGAAATCCATTTCCTTTCACTATCCACAGCATTTCACCTTGCTCCAAATGGAAAATCACTTCTGATTTGCAGAGCTGATACCCTTTTTATGCATTAGAAGATACATGGATTTAGTTAACTGCTAATAAATGTGCATTATGTCAATTCCATTAAAAGTCCAAGGCCAGAAGAAATGCTGAATATCCTTCACTAACCCAAGAAGAATCATGTGTCCAACACAGTGAGACACTCAGGATGCTCACACCCTACTTCAAAGGCAGAAAACAGAATTACCATTTTTTTCAAAAAAGGAAGAAATTAAATATCCTCATAGAGAACTGAATATTATTTTAAAACACAGTCTAAAAATATTAGCTCCATAAAAGTAATCAAAGTTCTGTTGTTTTTTACTACTGTATTCTCAAGTCTTAGCATAGTGACTAGAGAAGAATAACTACACTTGGCACTTTAACCCAGAGGTTCCATACAAACAGATTCAACAAACCACTGGTAAAATTATTAAAAAACTAAAATAATAAAAAAAATTCTAAATAAATGAATAACAATACAGTGTAATAGTTATCTACAAAAAATTGCCAGTGTACTGTAAGTAATCTGTAGATCATTTAAAATATACAGGAGGATGTGCATAGGTTATATGCATTTCATTTTATAAAACGGACTCTAGCATCCTCAAATTTGGTATCCCTGAAACCAATCCCTGAGGGACAACTGCAATTACAAATATTTAATCTACCTGTAAATTCAAAGTTATTTACTGAGTTCCAAGTTCTGCTCTGACTTTTGTAGATTTAGTACCTAGAAACACACGAAACCAGTCAAAACTACATTCTAGAGTAGTCACAAACTGGATATAAACAGAGTGTAAAGAAATAACCTTCTTTCATATAGTTAGAATGTCTGTAAAAGAATCCGGACAGAGACTGTAGTGGACTACTTGCTGACTGATCTGGACACACAAAAACACACATACGTAAATGGAGACAGACTCACCCAGAGATACCAGATGATTGATATTTTCGAGCATCACATCTTTGTACAGCACTCTCCTGGATGTATCCAAGAGGGCCCACTCTTCCTGGGTAAAGTTTACAGTTACGTCCTCAAAGGTCACCGATTCCTAGAATATCACAGACACACTAATTTAGACAGATCAGTCCTGCCAATATCTAGAGTGGGAAGGTTAAGACAAAAATACTGAGACAGGAGAGCTGTGTGTACAAAAGACCAAAATGTGTATTATTAGGAAAGATATTATTGATGAGTTCCTTACCCATAACTATTCTAGAGTTCCTGGGAAACTTAAACAGAGCTCAGATCCCTGAAATCCTCTTGACTACACTTATAACATCCATGCAAACAAGAGAAATCTACCCATCTGTTGTCAGTAGGACTGAAATTTCAGTAGAAGAAAGAATTTCCTACTCACTAGTGGATGCATTGCCAATAACTCAGTTTCCTGGTGTCTTCCTCTGGTTTTCCCTCACAGACAGTTCAAGCACTAAAGAGTCAAAGCTGTGGATGGAGAAAGAAACCATGAGACTCCCGAATTATATACAATTTCAACACCCACTTGTCATGAAGACCCAGACTTAATTGTGAGCCCATATCTAAGCAAGAGAAAAATGCAGAACTCTAAGAATAATAGGCATAGGATTTTTCTCTTAACCTATGGGCAACATTATAAAAGGTATAGCTGCAGATGCTAATAAAGACAATATACATGCATATCTCTTATGCATATAAGAAAACAGAAATACATATATTGACGATTTTATGATACATGTATGATCATGCTTCCTAAGAGCATGGCAAGATTTGTGTATTATGTGTTATTTTTAGCCTCCTATATATTTAAGATCCTTCACTCATTCTAAAATAGAGGAATTCCTGTTTCAGTCCACATGAGGATTTTGTTTCCCCTAAAAGTAAATATTGCAGAATTTCTCAGATTCATTTGCTCTTGTTGTATTTGATGGCAATGTTTGCCAACACAGCTATCTGGAGCCTCACTCCCTTTTTGCTCTTACTGAACCATGACTTTCATATCTTTCTTACATAGAAGTGGCTATCAGTCAAAGAAGCTTCTATTTTATTATGAAATTAACTATTCCATTTGGAGAAATTTGGAGACTGCCAAAGACATAAAAGGATATGTATCTGGCAAAGGAAGTAAAAGCAAACTTATTTAATAAAGTATTGTAGTGTTAAGTCAAGTGAAACCATCTCGGAAAATGTGGATTACATGTTCATAAAATGAAAACACAGCAGCACTAGCAATCTTAGGAGGACTAGCAAAACTGTGGTTCTAAATTACTCAATTCATGCTGCAAAAATACACTGACCAATTTCTCACCAAGCAGAAACTGACACGTCTCTGTTGACTTCACCATGGGTGACTGCATTTTAGACTCTCTCTTTAGATCTCCTAACAAGCCAACAGGTAGGAGGTATTCAGTTTGCTTAGCATCACTTACATATGTTAAGACATTCCTGACCTGGAAGGCCAGGATTGTGATTTCTCAGTATTTCCCAGGCTATTTTATATTTTTAATAATTAAAATCATGGAAATTTATTATAAATCTAGAATTTTGATATTTCATAATTGGAGATAGCAGTACAGTAAAAAAGAGCCCTGAACTTAGACCCCAGAACACCTGATCTGCTACCTTGTTCATTAACAGTAGTTGGGCAAGTTACCTAACCTCTCAGTCTGTTTTCTCACTTATCATACTTTATAAAGATGTTGTTACTATTAAACACAGATAGCACATAAAAATTCTGGTATTTGATTATAAAATTAAAAATATTCTCCCAATATCATGTCATATTAAAAATATAACATCAACTGGAAATTCTGAATCAAATTTAATTTCTATTATTATAAAAAGTTAAGATACAATTTCCTCACACTTAGGAATTTTTTATTTTTACACAAAATAAATTATCCCATGCCTTGGAAATTTCATTTTATAAATATTTCTTCAGTCATCACTGTCACTTCCTGAGTCACTCAGTTGCAAATCATTTCATAGAGTATTCATAAGAAGGTCACTGTTGACATGAAATCTATTAGGACTGGGATCTATCTCAGGACTCCTGTACTGTGGCATGGCAGACATGGTGGGATGTCCTGAGGTATAATTCTCTGAATCAGGAGAGGATCTGTACTCTTCATCTTCTGAGTCACTAGAACTATCCTCGCTACTTGAAGATGATGGACTTTTGGAATCTGAGGAACTCTCCCAATTACTCATCTGATCCATTAAACTGGCTTCTGCCTTCAGTTCTCTTTCAATGTCATCCATTGGAGATGCTGGAGACATCTTGTCTTCGGATATAGAATGTTTTGGAAGATATGGAGTCCCCTGGTTGGGTTCCGCATTTGTTGTTGCTGCTGCTCTAAACAATACTGAATTGCACTGCTTCCTTCAACTCTTGTTTTCTTTACTGTGATATTGCTGCTGAGTTTTTCTAGTCGGCATTCTCCAGTATCACGGTTAATAATCAAAATGCATTCTCTTAAGTAAGGTTTCTTTGAACCTTTGAAAACGGTTACTGGCGTTGTTGAACCTTCTAAGTTTGGTAGAGTTATTGTCACCTGTTCACCTTTGCCAACCTCAAGATCTCCTTCACAAGAAGTATCAATAGAAGCAGGTTTGACGTCATCATATTTTTGGAAAATGGGAGTGAAGGGAGACACTGCAGAATCAGCACAGCACTAGCTTTCTCACAATGACGAGCCTGCCCGGCGCTGGTTCCAGCTCCTTCCGCTCACGCCCTGAAACTCCAGGCCGAGCAGAGCAGCGTATCGCTCAGCCCACTTCACTTGCCCCAGTTTCCAGCCAAGTAAAAGGGAAAGACCACGGAACGGAACGACTCTGAGTTTACGTCTCTACGCCGCATCCCGGGTCCTCCGTAGCCCCCAGGGCCGTCCTCACTCACAGCGCAAAGTGTGGAATGCGCAGCGCGGCTGCTTCTCGAAACTCTCGCCCAACTTGAGAACCCGCTCAGCAATCAATATGCGAGAGCCGCGCTGCTCCATTCATCATTATCATTCGGCTCGGACTTCGCCTCTGTCACCGGCGCGCGCCACCATCTGCCACCTCGCCCGCAAGCAGGGCACTTGCGGCCGCCAGAGCCTCTCTTCCCAGGCTATTTGGACACACATAGTTCTGGGATGCATGATTAGGGACCTTAGTACCGCATCACTAAAACCATATTCTCCACCTGAATTGCCAATAACTTAATTAACGGCCATTATCTATGCACCTGTCCTTTCCTTTCTTTTCAATTCAGAGTTACATTCCAGACATATGATGTTATTTAGTGGGTTCTCTCAATTCCTAATAGCAGGGATGGGCTAGGCACTACTCCTGATGCTAGGAATACACAACAGCCATAACCCAGTCTTGCCTCCTGTCATTTACATTCTGGCCATACCAATATTGGAAAGCAAATATCACTTGTAAAGTAAAAGAGAATAACTTTAAATATGACTTAAATACAAAACCAAAGAAATATTTGTCAAATTAACACTACATGAAAAAATTCTAGCCCAAACTCAACCTTACAAGATTTTCAACATCCAATACGTCCAAAGCAATTTATGAATGGTAAATACACAATGAAGGTTAAAATTATGGTCTAATACTACATATGGAAACACTCGTCCTGTCCTCCCTTTTACCTTTCTCTCCCTCAGGCTCTTTTACTCACTTGGTTCTCTTTTGGTCTAATCCCCTCATTCTCTGCCCACACGCCATCAATATTTAAGGTACAGAATAAAAACGGCCCCTGCCCAGGACGACCACTTTCCGCTAAACACACAGTAGCAGGTCCAGGCAGTGCAACAGAAACTGGGACAGAACGGGGAGTCACAGGGCAGTGATTTGGTACGGCCTCCAGCTCAGGCTCAAGGGCTCCCGGAGCCAGCGACCACGGTGCGTTCCCAGGAAAGTAATGCGGAGTCCCGGAGGGGCATTAGTGTGGACTGGGTCCGAAGAGGACTGGGTCTGCAGACTTCCGGGTACTGCCCACGAAGAGCAGCGAAACGCGAGAACCCACGTTCCAGGAGGGACGTGACTTGCATGGGGAGAGGAGAGCGAGGCGGAGAGGATACCCAGGGCAGGAGACCGGGGACCCGGTGCCGGCCTCGGAGCTTCCTAGCCGGGGGCGCGAGGATAGTCCGCAGCGACCCGGCGACTGCACGGAGGGAGGACAGGGCAACGGGGACAGCTAATCTGGTGCGAACTAGAAATACCGAAACTCACGCCATCTGCAAAATCCACTTCCGGGCGGGCAGGAAACTGCTGCCCCGCTGGGCGGGACCTAGGTGGGCGTGGTCGGAGTATGGGCGGAGCATGACCCTCCGCCCCGCCCCCAGGGCGACTTCGGTCTGCCAGTCATTCCGTCCCGAGGAACCGGCGTGTCAGCGTGGGTCTCCATGACAGGTCTGGGTGGGCAGTTGAGCGGCCGGCCCAGGTCGTGCGAGTTGCAGGTTTTAGGGGCTGCAGCGCAAGCTTTGCGTTTTCAGGGCGCTCGCGTTGACTGCGGAGGTGCGTCTTTTCCAGCAGCGTTGAAAACAGTTTTAAGTCCAGATTATTCTGTGTGTCCCTGTCAAGCAGGCAGAATTCTGCCCGCTGTCTGTGGGCGGTGATTGGGTCAGGACCGTCCCGGGCTCCAGCACTTAGATGGGCTGGTTAGGGTAGGGCAGGTGGTGACCGCCAATCTTGGCCCTGGGGAATGTGCCAGGAACTGTTACAGTTTCCATTTCTATTCCCCATTTCTCAGGGAACAAAGGTGCAATTTCATACCCAATT